ATGCGTTGCGTGATGCGGGTTTTGGTTGTTATCAAGGAGGGTGTGGTGCCTTTCACCGATCTCGTCCTCCAGCGCTTCATTAATATTACCAATATCATCAGCGCGAACCCAAGTAACCCCCGATTCTACTACTTCCACTTCGAAGCTATGGGCGCCTTCATCCGGTATGTTCCTAAACATTTGGTTTCTAAGTGCTAAACGCTAACATGATGATAGGTTTGCTGCTCCTGCCAACCCCGACAAGCTCGAGCAGGCTCTTTATGCGCCCTTCGCAGCTATCCTCCAGAATGATGTGCAGGGTGAGTCAAACCAGTCGATATCTTTGTCAGAACGAACCCTTACTAACAAATTACAGAATTCATGCCCTACGTTTTCCAGCTCTTCGCGGCGCTGCTCGAGGCCAACCCATCCGGCACCCTTCCCACCTACTACCAGGAACTTATTGGCCCTATCTTGATGCCCGTTATGTGGGACTCGAAGGGAAATATTCCTGCCTTGGTCCGGCTGCTTTCCTCGATCATCCCGCGTGGTTCACAGTTCATCATTGAACACAAACAGATCGAGCCCGTCCTTGGTATCTTCCAGAAGCTAGTTTCAACCAAGGCCAATGAGAGCTTTGGCTTTGATCTCTTGGAGACAGTTGTTGCTAACTTCCCACCGTACGTATCACATCTTCCAAGCGCCCAATTGCCGGTTATCTAATTCCGCTTTCCCTAGAACTGCCCTTGAGAACTACTTTGTCATGATCATGCAGATCATTCTTCAACGTCTGCAGAACTCCAAGACAGAGAACCTGACTATGCGCTTTATTCGCTTCTTCCACTTCATCTCGGCACAGGACAACAAGGGCTACAGCGCAGACTTTGTCATCCAGGTCACCGACAAGGTGCAAGAGGGGTATGTATCCCCGCTCTGTTTAAATTGTCCAAATGCTAATATATACTTAGACTATTTACGCCCATCTACGTCAACGTCATCCTGCCTGAAACTCAGAAGCTTGCCCGGCCTTTGGATCGCAAGACGGCTATCGTCTCCTTCACTAAGACCCTTGCCAACTCAGAGGCTTTTGCCACTCGGTACAGCCAGAAGGGGTGGGGCTTCACCTGCACCGCCTTGCTCAAGCTTCTCGAGCTTCCGCCGCTGCCCGCAAGCAGAGATGATCTCATTAACGATGCAGACATCGAAGACATGTCCTTCGGTGTTGGGTTCACTCCTCTGAACACCATCCGTGCTCAGCAGAAGGACCCGTGGCCCGAAACTGGTGCCGACCTCAAGGCTTGGGTGGGCTCATACCTGAAGGAGGCCGATAAGAAGCAGAATGGCCGCATTTCGCAATTCGCCCAGGAACGTCTTGACGATCAGTCAAAGACTGTGCTGGCAAGTTACATTTCTTAATAGTGCCTTTGCGATGGTCCCATTTCCTTTCAAGAAACTAAAAAAGTTCGACTTACGCGTGTTTGCTTTCTCCTTCAGAGTAATGCAATCCTTTTCCCAATTCCCCCCTACTACACCAAATGCATGTTGCGATGAGACACTAGATCCATGAAATAAATGTTTGTTTGATTTTGCATTAGAAGTGCATCTATGAGAATGTAGATCCCTCAAAAATAAACGCTCAAACACCAATGCAGTAGACCTACTGTACAAAATTCCAAACCCCATGCAACGAGATAAAGCTCACATCATGCACCCTTTCCAGGCACTTCAGATTTAGCCTCGCCCCCGCCCCCAGTTTCCGATTCAGTCTCCTTATTTTCTCCCTCCTTTACATCATCGTCCCATATGATCTCAATCTCATCCTCTTCCTCTTCAATTTCCCCCTCTTTCGCCTCCTCCCCAAGCTCTCGATACTTTCTCCGCGTCTTCTTCATCTTACTAGCCTTCTTCTTCTTCGCCGCCGCAGCCTTAATCGCAACCCGACTCTTATCCCCATTCTCTAGTGCCTCGATTTTATCAGCGAGCAGCGAGCGCGCAATCTTCGCGTTCTGCGACTGTGAACGCGTCGCTTGGCATTTGACCACCACCCCGCTGGGCTTGTGGATGATTTGTACGGCTGAGTTGGTTTTGTTCTAGGTTTGTTAGTTTTGCTCTACTGGTCTGGAATGCCGATTGGGGCTTGAGACATACAATCTTCTGTCCGCCAGGCCCGGTGCCTTTTAGGTAGGATATTGATATGTCGGCATCATTGATCTTGAGTCGTGGGGGGAGGGGTTTGGCGGGGACGATGGGGGTTTGGCTGAAGAGTCGGGCTGGAGCTGCTAATGTTCGGGACGATGTCCACCAGTGTAGGCGAGAGAGCATTGCTTTGGTGCTGGCGCTGTGGTTTATTGAAGGTTGAGGTTATTGCCGCCGAGGTTTGCGATAAGATAAGCTTGAAGTATCATTATTTTGCCTCTTTTGTGTGGTTTTCTGGTTGAATTGAAGATGATAAGCTTGGTATTTTAGATCAATGGAAGTTCTAGACGATTGGATATGTTTCCGTACTGTTTGTTAGAAGTGGTGTCTATATGTAGTCCTGTAAGCTTTACTCACTGCAACTAGATGAGAGGGCTTCCGAGGTGATCATGAATAGCAACCCATGGAGAGCAGTTATTCAAGGATCATGAAACGGACGTTGGGTCTCGTACACCTGGGCTAATCAATTTGAACAGCAAAAGGACATGGAACTACTTGTACTATACCTATGCTCAATATTGTTGCCTACGTACTACATACGAGTTGTATGACACAAGTACGGAGTACAATTGAGATCAATGTATAGAATAGGTAATGTACCGATAGAGAAGATACGAAGGATAGGTTATGCGTATAGATATATGTAGAATTATACTATCCAACATCGTGACATTTTAAATTGTACATACTACGAAACACTAAGTATCAAGTACCTGAGACTCAGCCGTGCAATGGCGGCGAACGTAAGTACTGGGTACAAACTCTTGCGGCAAACACGGAAAGGGGAAGGGTTTTGCAGTTCCCCCAGCTTCGTGTACTCTTATCCGCTCTCTCTTCCTTTCCTGTATCATCAATCCACGCCGACGATTCCTGTCAATACGCTCTTCCTAATTGTAACGAACATCCTCCAATTGCCCACGTCCCCGCGATATCCGGCGACCTCACGTCAACACTTCCCGCAGCCGTGTTGATTTGGAACACCATCGCTCATTTTTTCCCCTTGACAACACCGCACTCCAGCCGGGTATACACATAGTGCCCGTGTCTGATACGACTGTCTCCGGGATCTGTTTCCCCCGTTTTGTCATTGGCGGTTCTTGCCCAGGTGGTGGAAAGGTAAAAAAAATCAAACGAACGGCACCACAAGCCCCAAGACGCAACGAGAGGCCGGAACATCCCACAATCCTCGGAATACCCCGCGACAATGGATTTTATTATCTGGGCCGTGTCTAGCCTCTTCCGCTGGATGCGATTGAAGATCTACCAGTATGAGGTGACATTCTCCCTCTACATGCTTACCCCGATTGAGAAGTTCATCTTCAGTACGTTGTGCCTGCCACCCCGTCCGGAATACACTTGGTACGCCATGCTGACGTTCAATGCTCTATTCAGACACACTGCTCCTTGGCCTCATCGCCATGATCACTATGGGCACATACATTTACCTTCCCGATCACCTCCGCGCCATCTACGGCCGCCTCTACTACTACTGGGCCGGTGAGCGCCTGTTCAGCTCCGGTCGGTTGTCGATCAGCTCGGTTTTTGGCGAAAATGGCGTGGCCACACAAATTGGGGACATGATGTACGAGACGGCGAAGAATGCCGCTGCCACCTCGACTGAGCGCATGGCTGAACTGTGAATAAACGCCCGACACGCATAATGGTTGCATTTGCATTCTCTATTACCAAAAGTGTGGAACCGTCTAATTCCCTTGAATTTCATACCCAAGGGCTCCTCGTATCCACTTTTCCTGTCGGCCGGCGCTTGTTTGGAGTTCTTGTGTTCTGGGAACTTGCGGCATCCCTATGACTTGCATTGTCGCAGTGCGGCAGATTATATTATTATTAATTCTTGTCTTTTCTTTTCCTTGGGTCATTCACACCACACTGTATATAGACAAGCCTCCTCGGCAGAGTTGTGTGGTCGATTGATACCAGTTTTGTGTTATCATTGGAACGTGATCATGATTGAATTTGATATTTACACAATTTCCAGAACGATGTACAGAAAACGTAGATAGTACATCGTAGATGGTAGAAAAAGCAATATGATGTTGAATAATGCAACATATAGAATGAAACCCCAGAACGCCCTCGATGCCCAGAGCAGAGTGTTGTACAAGTAAACCCATCATCAGCACATATGTAACTCCCCAGCGCAATGCCAATCTTGTCCTCGGCAATTATAAATCCGCCCAAACGGAGAGGGAAGAGCCTTCTTTCCCAAGGCTCATTTTTCCAGAGACTTGGACAATGAGCACATGTCGTGTTCCAGACCACGCTGACAGCTCCCCCCGATAATACCCACTAATCGCAGTCTCATTGCTGGCTCTGCGTTGCCTGGATCTCTGCCTGTGCTTGCGCTTGCGCTTGAGCCTGTGCTTCCGCCGCCTGTCTCTGCTCTCGCTTTATGGCATCCACCATGCGCATACGTGCCAATTCCTTGTCAATCTCCTCCTTATCCAGCGGGATCTTGTGTGATTGCTCAGCAGTGGGCCAGAAGCCCTTTGTGGCGAAGCGGTCGTCGAGGTTGGTACCGAAATAGTACATCCAGCCGATGGGGAAGAGGACATACATCCCAAACTACATGGACCCCGTTAGTCCTAAGAACAGGCCATGGAAAGCGGGAGTTGGAAATGCCTGCTAGAAAGACTTGATTGTCAGCTACGCACCTTGAAGACTTCGAGGTTGCCTCCCTGCAACTTGCGGAAGATTTGCGACATTGTATGGGTTTGATGCGTTGCTTTTTTTTCTCTCAGGGAAGTTTCGGTTTCAGATATTGCTAGTAAGGTTGATTGAGGATCGATGTTATTGTCGGGATATGCTCAATTGGTAATATCGCCTGGTTCCAGCAGACAGAGAGCAGCGATAATGTGTTGGTTGATCTTTAATCGCCGAATGGTGCCATGGCCTGTGGACCAGTCACGGACGTGATTACTCGGTTTCCGGCAGACAAGACAAACAAGACAAACACATTTTTGCTTTTGCCTCAGGCACCAATCGGCAGCTTCGCCGCGGGCCTCGGCTCCCCGCAAACTCGCATTGTACCCGGTCATTCCGTAGAACTAGGGAGGATTGATAAACCATTGCAGACCCAGTTTAGTTTCGTATTCAATTGAGCAGTTTACTTCTTCTACAATATACATACAGTAACAATGTCGAACGACAATCTCATTACCGTTACCTACCAGGATCGCGTAGCGATCGTGACGCTCAATCGCCCTGACAAGCTAAATGCTCTCAATGCCGACCTATACTACCTTCTAGGCGAGCGTCTACGCGAGATCGACTCACGAGAAGATATCTTTATTACAGTCCTGACCGGAAAAGGTCGTTTCTTCTCTGCGTATGTCATCCACAGCCCAGCCCTAGATATACCACAACTATATCCCAAAAAGGAAACTTGACAAGATCTACCATGTCTAACACCCATGTCTTCTCCACAGCGGAGCCGATGTAACAAGTGTACGTCCTGGCGGCGACGATACCAACCCAAACGTCCGCCGCGAGCTAGTCAAGGGCTTTGTCGCAAACAACGTCGACGTCACCCGCACCTTCTACAACCACTCCAAGATCCTCGTTGTCGCACTGAACGGGCCCGCTGTCGGTCTTTCAGCAGCACTAGTCGCCCACGCTGACTTCATCTACGCTGCACCGCACACCTTCCTCCTTACTCCCTTCTCCTCACTCGGTCTCGTCGCTGAAGGCGGCGCTAGTCGCGCCTTCGTCGAGCGTCTTGGCGTCGCTAAGGCGAATGAGGCGCTCATCATGAGCAAGCGGATTTCCTGTGAAGAGCTTGTTTCGACTGGGTTTGTGAATAAGGTTATTACGCCGGAGTCTGGAAAGAAGGAGGATTCTGACGGGTTCTTGAAGAAGGTGCTTGAGGAGGTTGATGATCGTCTTGGTACACACTTGAACCAGAGTAGTCTGTTGAAGATTAAGGAGCTAGTAAGACGGCCTGAGAGGGAGCTATTGGATCGCCAGAATGGTCTTGAGGCGTTTATGGGACTTGAGCGCTTTATGAAGGGAACTCCTCAGGAAGAGTTCCGGAGGTTGGCGTCTGGCGAGAAGAGGCATAAACTTTAGTTGCTCGATGGTATCTTTGTATATAGCTATTCCAATAGAGGGTGCGGCTGCCTCTTCTACTTTTCCAATGTCCTTTTTTTCGGTATAAAGATGTAGGGACTGAGTTGATGCATTATTTTGATCTTCAAGACAAAAGATTGAAGCAATGAACACAACACACATACTGACAGAGGCCTGCCTAGGTAATTGTGCCTACTGGAGATAGAGTGCGACAAGTATATATCGATTTATTCATTGAAAATGTGTGGATTGATCTATAGTCCACAATGCAACCTTGCAATCCCGGAAAGTCATTTCCTGCTATTGTTAAACGCCACTAGACCAAAAAATCATGCTCTTATCCAACTCAGCGTCTTGAGACGAGATCGTTTTATTCAGAGTCACTGTCAGCAGCCCGATCCTCTTGCTCCTGCTTCTTCAAGATATCCTGCCACTGGCCCATGAATTCACTCATGCCGCCAGGTCCTTCAAGCGAAGCATCAACCAGCTCCCTGGGCACCTTGTGAGCCGAATATTGAGTGGAGCTGAATGCGTATGCCTCAGGGTCATCCTTTTTGATGAGACGGAATTCCGGGAGGAAGGGGGCCTGTTCGTCATCTCCTTCGGCGGCCTCATCTTCTTCTTCCGAGTCGGAACTCAAATCATCTTCCTTTTCGAGTTCTTCTGCCGTGCCCGAAGGCATTACCTTACCATCTTGGAGGGAGATTCTCACAAACTCTTCCGCTCCAACATCTTCATCCTCCTGCACACCAATGGGATCCTTCATTTGGAGGATCTCCAACCAACTGTACAGCAACGGGTCGGTACGCTGCGCCCACGGATTAATATCAATCAACCAGACACGCTGGTGTGGTGCGGGGATGTACACATCGAATACAAAGTTGGATTCGGGGAAAGTGTACTTGAGCTTTTCGTCGAAGAATGACTGGATTCGAGACCGGAGCATATCACGCATGGGGAAGAGGAATTCGAAATGGTTCTGATCGCGCTGGGTGATGCATAACAGTACGCGGTTACGCACAAAGCAACGGAACTCGAGCGAAGGGTTGAAGTTGACGTATTTGCGGAGAACCAGAGAATACGGGACATCCGGCAGCGGTGAGTCAACCGGGGACGGCGTGGATTCGTCGGTGGTTGTATCCGGCACACAGTCGTCGAAGGGATGATCCAAATCATGGGTGATGAAGTCGCTGCTTTTCAGGAGGAGGTAGATATCATTCGGAGAACGGCATTGGGTGTCGTTTGTGGCGGCCATGAATGTTGCATCTTTGGGAGCACTCCAGTTTAATTTCGGTGTGACAATGCCACCAAACTCAGAAATAGTATTCTTGATCTGGGTGTGGATCTCCTGCCACTCCGTAGATGGATCGGGCTCCTCCTCGCCCGAATCGGAGAATGTGTCTAGGTTATCATCGTCGGTTGGGGCGGCTGCCTCCGGTGGAAGAACAATGCCGTCGGCACGGAGGTATTCGACGAAAGGAGCGGTCAAAGGAATGACGCGCGACTTGGGAGCAAGTTTGCGGTACCTAAAGTTTCGGTCAGATATGTTCAGTGTTGAGTCATATATGGATAGAAGCTTACCGCGGATGCCAGTCATGATAGGAGCAATGCAAGATATGGGAGTAGGTGGTTGGCGGAAAAGGGAGGCGATCTGGGAGATTGCTGGATGATGCCTCTGGCATAGCGGCATCTGATTCAATCAACGGCATATTGAATATAGTTTGCGTAAAGTATAAGATCGTTCTGACGACCGAGTCCCCCTCGGTGGCGGGGGACTTTTTCTGCCATCACGTGCCGATAACGATAAGGCCGAGGATCCAGGGGTCTAAGGCCCTCAGGCATCCGTGTCGCATGGATTACTTGTTCTCTATAAACGAACCGTCTCACCACGTATCCCGCCAGCATGGCTCCTGAGGCGCCTGATCCTTCAAGCTTGAAGTCATGGCAAGATGCCTTTCAATACCCGATTCCAACGGTTCGCCGTGTGGAACAGGAGCTGCGCCGGGACATCGCGAGCAATAAGGAGAAGCTCCGAGCTCTCGTGGGGTAGGTGATTCATTTGCCAGAGTAGCTGTTCCTTCACTAATATTGATATAATTTGACAATAGGACGCGATATCGTGACTTAGTTGGAACTGCCGAGACGATTGTGGCTATGAACCGAGACATTCAAGACGTGGAATCCATTCTGGCCGATGTTGGACGCCGGTGCAACCCCCGACTTATAGAAAGGAAGCATGTTCATGTCCGGCAAATAAAGACCGGTGATGCTGAAAAAGGTAGGAAACCAGGCCTGGAACAAATCAGGGATTAGTAGCTGACCCCGTGAACATAGATGCAGAGAAGCACGCATTCGGAGCGCAGCTTTCTCTTCTTCACCGCTGTACAACCTCTATCAGCCGGCTTTTGCGACGTCGCGGCTCGCTCCTGTTAGTTGCGAAGATTCTGGCTGTTTCCCGATCACTTCACAATAAATTATCGAAACACGAATCACTCCCCCCGTTCCTTGACGATCTCTGGAATCAGCTAGCGTCCCTGCGGCAAACACTTCTCAAACGTATTAACAAACGTCTTGCCTCTACGAGCGCCACAGAAGACACTATCATTGAATCATTGGCCGCCCATTGCCTTGTAACGAGCTCTTCTTCCGATGATGCGATCCATCATTTTCACCAAGTCCGCCTGGACATTATTGTTAGCCAGTTGGATGTGTCCCGTGAGAACATTCCTAGAGCCCTCCAGCTGTTTGTTCGGACACTCCAGGCCTCAAAGGTCCTGCGATCCCATCGATTCTCAGATGTGCTCTTGAAACTTAAAGCTCGACCTATCCTCGCTGACCCAGAGATTGAGAGTCTAGATGGACTGGAGGTTGAAGTTCTTGGCCGCTGGTTAGCTCCAGATGTTAAAAATTTCACCCCCTGGATCAAACTCAGCGAACTAAACAGAACTCAGGGGGTGGAATCAATCAAGGCGTGGTCGCTTCAGGCTTTCAATAAATTCTCTGAAGGCTGCCAAAAGAGCCTGGCCCACAGCACCGATTTCTCAGAGCTCCTCTCGCTCCGTACAGAGACTGTGGAATTGTGGCTATCATCCTGGGGCTCAACCATCATTCACGGCTCGGTGGATGTCCTCGAGAGTCTTCGAAATATATTCAATGACCAGCTTGCCAGAATCCTGAATGTGCAAGCACAAAGCCTAGGCGAAGTCGGTACTCAGGTCTCATCTATAATATCAGACTGGGAGAACACCGACCACAACTCCGTCGGATCTCTGTGGGATGCCGACCTCATTACCGCAGAATACACGAACGGCGCACAGGCATTCAAACAAACTGTCACAGACAGATTATTGGGCCGTGACGAAGATGTCTCCACCGTCCTTCAGAAGTATCAAGCATGGCTGGCATCAATCCAAGAAGCCAACGAATCCATCGACTCTTTACGCCGCACGCGATGGAGTGACATTCTCGTCGGAGGTGAAGTCGAAGATGAAGATATCGACATCACACCTCGACTCAACGAAGACGACCCCCGACACCTATCCGATTCTCTCCACTCTGCCGTTCGCGAGGCATTCGCCAGTCTCCAGGCATCCTTCAGCAGCGCGTTCAAGGCATTCAACTCCTCACATTCAAGCGAAAAAGCCACTTTCCTACTGAGGCTTATACGACTCGTCCGGCGAGATATCCCTGCCGGATTTGTATCTGGAGACTTTATCTTCTCGAGCGGAATCATCCCTGAGTTACAAAAGTTGCTCGCAACAGAAGTAGTTGCCAAGGCTGGCTCGCTGAGCTTGATCCCGTCCTCAAAGATCAACCCACAAACAGGCAATATTAAGACCGTGCCAGGCCGATCACTCTGGGAAGGCGAGCCCGCGCTCCCAGTTCAGCCCTCAGCTTTGAGCTTCAAGCTCCTGCGCCGTCTCACTTCTTCCATGGACACCTGCGGATTGGACCTGTGGGATCCGTCCACGGTGCAGGCGTTGAAACAGGAATTGAAAACGAAACTTGAGGCGGCTATCTCATCTGCTTTGAATGATCTCGACAGCGAAGATGTTCCTAGCAAGGCTGAGACTAAGGATGACCAACCCACTGCCAACGGAGACAGGGATGATAAGGAAGATAAGACCACGGAGAGACCAGAGACCCAAAACCCGGACCCGGGGCAAGTCGAGTGTCTGCGTGACTGGAAGGTTCAGCTCTTCTTCGACTCTCTGTATCTCTCCCAGATGCTCGGGGAACGAAATCAGCTGGATGGTGTCGTCGAGCGTGCCCAGAAGAGCGCTGGCTCCAGTCCTGAGGCTATTAAGACTATCAAGAAGCTTGCAGCTGAGTATTGGACTCGGACGGAGCTGCTGTTTGGTCTCTTGTCATCACCCTGAGTTGTTCTCTAGGAGGATGCTGCATCTTGCCAAATGCCGATCTATGCTTTACGTTATCCTTTCAAGGAGTACCTAGGTAGTGGATACATACATACATTACTTGAATTTATTTTCGAACAGAAAATACGTTGATTACATGGTACGCAGACAAGAATCCATTACATAGCATCTAGACAAGATATCATACATTTCACTTCATACAATCATATCTCGTTCAGCCATAGTAAAATGATCAGAAGCCAGATATTAGCAAATTTTCCTCATTCCACACAGATCATCACCGGTTACCCTTTTTTTTGTTGATTTTTTTGTTTTCAAACTTTTTTGGTGGTTTTTGTTGTCGATAGATGCTCGATAGATGAGAAAAAGCACCCCTTAACGGTCAGGACTCTTTTCAATGATTTCAACCTGAGATCGAATAATTTCAATCTCGCGCTGAACAGCCCAGAGGGCGCGCTGGGCTTCACGGGCTGATGCACCGAGGTCCTCAGCCGGAACGGTCATCATACCCTCCTCGATGCCCTTGGGAGACCAGTGCTCAACAATGTACTCAAGCTGACCGTCGATCGGCAGAATGTGTCCGCGAATGACAGAGAGCTCCTCTAGCTTTTCAGTGGACCAATTGTTGTTGAATTGGATCCTCCATCGGTCCTTGACTTCTCGGAGGCTCTCAAGAACACCGAGAAGAGACGCAGCGATCTTCAAACCGTCGGTAAATATTACCTTGCGCATGTGTATTTTGTCCCGAGTTGACCAAGCGGACGCAGGTAGAACACTCATCCGTCTCGTGCACACCTCGTGGAAGTATTGGGTGAGTTTTCCCTCGCGGGTTTGTGCCCTACGGCGTTTGTTCTCGAGGACCTCCATCACCTGTCGCCAGCGCCGCTGGAGATTCGTGATCATGTCGAGCTCGTAGCCGCTGTATTCGTCGATTTGCCAGTCTTCTTCCAAACCCATGGATAGAGGGTTCTCAGCAATGCGCGACATCCGCAAGATATCACTTAGCTGGGCGAACTTCGCGTTGCCTTGTGTGAAGGACCGCAGGAAGAGAGGGGCGGACTTCCTATCATCAAGCGCAACGACGCACAGTTCGTCCTTGTGGTTGTAGGCTGCATACTCGCGGATGCAACTTTGCCGGAACCTATCACTGCTGGAAAATTCCAATGCCATTCCTGGTGGAATAATGGTCGATCGAAGCGCCTAGATTTTTTTAGTATAAGCTTATTTATGAAATATTGCCGAAAGCAAATTCACATACCTTGTTAACTACCTTCTCCATCTCCTTAAAACCGACTGGCTGCCTGGGCCAATAATTCAGGTTGAGATTCACGGTCGTCAAAAGCTCCGTGCAGCGCCGTTTGACAATAGGAACCGGAAGATTACTGCGTCCCAGTCCTTGGAATCTTAAAATGCCGTTGGTGAGGGCATTTTCGACCTGTTCCATGAGGTTGCAGAAGCTGATGACAACGTTCGTCAAGTCGGTTGTGTGCACTCGGATTTCCCTGTCCTTGAACCTATAGTCTTTAGCGGGAGATTGCATAATTGTCGAAAGATGCTGCAAGGCCCAGGACCAGGGAATCACGATACCCCTTCCTGGATTGGCGATACAAAGCTGCACAATGTTAGTAACCTGTTGTATCATCGGCAATATTTGGAAACACACAATGTACGTAGCTGAAAATTCGAGCACAGAAAGGACGGCATGGAGCGATCCAAGGGAGGATTTGGGTGTTTTCTCGAGACATTGGACAAAGGCGCTGATGCCGTTGTGCTATGCAACGGTTAGTATAGCTCGATAAATAATGTAGCATAGTAATAATGTCTCACAAAGTCATGAGTATTGCGCCTGGCAACCGCTGATCGAATTCTCTCAGCAGCATTCAACGTCGTCAAAGGCAACGCAAGCGGATGACCAGATCGCTTCTGGCGTGGTGGCATGCTACGCTCCATATTGAGAACGAGTGCTCGCTGGAAACGCATGGCTGGGTGAGGGCCTGCAATTTTGGATTGATTATTAGGGCCATTTTTTAATGTTTCAGGAAAAGAAGTTCATCATACCGAGAATTTGAGATTCTTGGACCTTCTCTAGAGAAGAGCTCAGACTGCTCATCGACCCCCATTCCTTGGTCATGCGATAGAACAACAACTCTTCGAGGCAGTATGCGGTTGCAGCAAACTCTGGATTGCTTTGCAGATTGGAACGAAGATTTGCAATTGCAGTACTGGATTGCTCCAGTGAACTGACAATAACCAGCTCCTCTTGGATATGCTGGATCCAAGTTCTCCCTATACTATGTCAGGTCTGGAACGTACGACGAGATTGGACCGATCACTTACTACGACCCAGAAATGGTTTACTGAAAGCTTCACCCATGACTTTTTGATAATAAACCGGCGTAAGGCGCGCAAAAACCTCAGCGACGGTGAGAAGGCACTGCGGAAGTTCCCTGTTAGTAGTTGATCTCTTATTACTTCTCATTGTTTTACTCACATTCAACTTCGCAATAGCAAATTCTGCAGTAGGCTTTTCATGACCCCAGAAGCATTCATTGGCTTTAAGCTTTGAACAATATCCTGATTGAAGTTATTAGGTATTTTGTAACGAAGGCGTCAACAGATGAAGCTTACCTTTGTAAAGCTGTTGGAAACAGGTCGGCGGAAAATCCTTCTTCACGAGGTGGCCCGCATTTTCATGGAACTGAGTAAGTGCTGCGGCAAACTTCTCTTGAACAAAGTCTTTTGCAATTTCAAGCAAGTCCTCGGATGAAGACCCATCAAGAGAAGTTGTCGTGAAACTCCTCAACGGAGACCAATGCAGCAAGATCGTCTGGGTCTCTTGCTTTGGGTTTGTGAAAATGCCACAAACCGTAGCTAAACAAGTAAGAGAATGCTGATTCTGGGCATAAAAGCCTTGCAGCAGATTTCCAACTCGGATGACGATATCCATTGGAAGGTGTTCGATCTTATGCTTGGTGAACACTGATGGCTCGAAAGCGATAACCTGAAAATAATTAGCTCAATGCCCACAAATGGTGGTAAGATTGAAAACGAACAAAAAGACAGAAAATATCCTTCGAGAGACCTTTATCCAGGTGTTTAACTGAAGCGGGCGAATCCATATCCTCAAAATCATCGATCAACTGCAATAGCGTTCTCCACTGAGCCCCAAGTTTTTCGAGGTAAGTTAATTTGACTGATTTCAGCAGCCCATCTCGCTCAGGTTTGGCCGGAATTAAGTCCCTGTGGGCGTATAAGACTTCGACCATGGAGTAATTGAACAGCTTCTCGACAACTGGCTTGTCAACCACTGGCATCAATTTGTGAACCAGCAAGGTGCCTATCGCCGCAGGTATGTCACCAACAGCGACTGATAGATCGTAATACTCAAACCATCTGGACTTTGATGAATAGAGTGCACGCAGCTGGTCCCACATTTCGAATTCTTTGAAAAACGCAATCTTGGACACATCTGATCCAAGCATATTGATAGTTATCGCCCTCAGGCTGGCAGAGACACGTCCCTGCCTGAGCAAAATATTGCAGAGTCTCGAGTATCGAAGCAAGGTGGGCTCGCTGAGGTACGCGCGGTTCCTGTACAGAGTCAATATTGTATAATTATTGTAGAGAAGAATCGATGTAAAAACCTGTTGGCATAGGTAACGAGTTCATCGAACTGATCCCCGCGGCGCAAGACCTCGATTGCCGCCTCGTACTGACCACAAGAATGGTAACACTCCGAAAGCTTCTGCGAAAAGTTTGCCTTTCTCGTAGAAAGATGCAGCCTTTTGGTATTGTTCGCGAGCTTTCCAGATTTCTACAAGAGTGGTTAGTATTGCTCAGGCTCGACGCGATTGAAAAACAAACCTGCAACTTTGCCGAACTGCCCAAGCCCTTCGTAACACATCGCAGCTTCTGCAATGAGGCCGATCTCAAGGAAAAGGACGATAGCCTTTTCGTAGCACGCGGTGAATTCTTCGATATCTCCAGCTGCTCGGTGGGATCTTCCTTCTTGCTCATGCAGACACGCCTGTGAGTGTGTCATTCCTCGAGGATCATTGGCCTTCTTGTAGCAAAACAATGCCTGTTAAACATTCATTAGCACAAAGATTTCCTCCGGCTGGTGAATAGTATGTTACCTCTGCAAAGCTCTTCCGATGGAGAAGATGTGCTGCTCTCTTGAGCCATCTCTCTGGGTCCACTGAGCCGCCAGCCCGCAGAACTGCTACCTTTGCCGCAACCTAAAGTAGATGAGTATGCGAATCATTTAGGTTGGAGGATTACTCACATCAGGGTCTTTCTGCTTCACAACTTCAGCGAGCTCGAGGCTGTTACTCTGCGACAACGTTTGAAGAATGGGATCAACGCTGTTCTCTTGAGTTTCCATGAACCAAAGTTGCTTCCGAGCACGAGTAACGGCGACATAAAGCGACTGGATATCATGGTTAGTAAGAAAGATCGTTCGCAAAGCAACAGACATACCTTGAGTTCGGAACACAAAGCCTAATTGGACATGTTAGTAACCATAATGGGCTAGTATCTCATGGAATACTCACCGCATGTTTCTGAGCGTCAAACTGGGCTCGTGATGCTTGAACAAGCATGTGAAGGCACCGATAGCTACTACCAAGGCCACTGCTGCCGAAAAAGTCATACACCAACACATCGTCAAACTCCATACCCTTGCTTTCTAAGATTGTTAAGACAAGGGCAATCTCGCCGATTTGGGTTTGCAACTTGTCCTTGGATGCATCATCTCGGACAAGGATGACTTGCTCAGCGCCAAAATCGGCGACCTTGTCGTTGAGCTTGACTAGGCCAATCATCTTGGCAGAAAGAATCGAGGAGTCGAATCCCGCTAGGTGACGAAGTTAGTGATTGAATGCCAATGCAACGATGCGACATACCAAAGATAATCGGTTTTGGTCCTCCGATATAGCCAATCTCTGGGTCCAACTTGTCCACTGTTTCCGGGAATCCTGTGGATGAAAAGTTAGAAAAAACCAGGTTCGAGCCTTGAAACGTCTCATACCATGCCAGAGTAGCTGCATCACCCATGATGCAAAACTTAGAATACCCTGATGCGAGCGGTAGTTCTTCGCCAGAGAGAATTGAACAGGCTTGGCGAATGTCGGCTGATTCTGTTCATTGGCAATCACTTCGTAATGATCGTAGAACAATGCCTTTATCTCAGGGAATCGGAAAACCGAGTCCTTCGATATGCACTGGGCAGTATCGCCAGCTATGCTTTGTTAGTTGGTTAAACCAGAGATCAATCCCAGGAGAGCTTACCAAGGTGAATGCCACGAGCATCACTGAGGCAGCCTAAAAGTAGGACAATGTCCAGACAACGCAAGTCTTGAATTTCTAAACACGTAGTTAGTACTTTGCTGTCGAATATTGAAAAGTAGACCCACCATCAACATAAATCTCCTCGAAACAGCGCTGAATTTGCTCTGCTAGAGCTTTCTTGTCTCTCAGGGATTTCAGCAGGACACTGACACGGTCCAGCTCGTCAATCTCCTTGCGAAGCTTCTTTTGCTTTTCGTAGCGCTCGAAGGCTCCAAATACTTTCTCACGCTCTGCCTCGGAGGTAAAGGCGGGAGAAGCTTTCGCGTTTTTCTTAACATATTCTGCACGGCATAAAGGCTTCAGGCTTTTTGCCGTGACGCTAGAGCCTTTAATGACGCCCATTATCTCTGCGAAGAGGAGCTCTGGAGAGCAAGATGGTGGAGCTAATCCACTCAGCGAGCCCCAATATTCTGTTTTGAAAATGCTGAAGTCAATTACTCGTGGCTTGTCTCCCACCTGTGGGTCCAGGCCCTTTGCCTTGTTGGGATTGATGTCTCTTAGGAAGTCTTTTCGATCAGCCATTCTATTCCAAGTTAGCAAGGAAATATTGACAGGTTGACATTGTAGATATTCAAACCTGATTGTATTTTCCAGAAGCCCAAGAAATTCGTCGTAAGTGCAGACAATTGGAAAATGGCAATTCTTCAGGGCGAAGAACGAAGTCGGTTTCAGATCCGAGTCTACATCTTCTTCAGCCGGGGGAGCCTTGGACTGAGCGTCAATCAGGCTTTTGGCATATGTTTGAAGCTTTGAAGCCAGATAGGAGGAGCGAGTCAAGAGAAGCTATTCATGTCAATTTCCCATCCGGCAATGTGAGAACGGAGAGACATACCTGTCGAGCTTGCTGCTCATCTGAAGCTGACTGCCTTGCTTTATGCTTGGCAAGCATCTTGAACAACAGACAGGTGGTTTTTCCTGTACCACTTCGACCTAGAATCAAGCTTGCTGTGCTGAAGTGCTTGACAATTTCTAACTCCTCGGGAGAGAGGTCAAACGGAAACTCCTCTGTGCCGCTTTCATCAATGATCGACCTCAAAAACGGCTCGGTGAGATTGTAAAATTTGTCTTGAGACTCATTGTTAGCTTACAGCCCACAGGGCCTGGGATATTATTGACGGGGATAAAAGCATACTTGACATCTCAATCAAAGCTGGGCTTGCTTTGGAAGAAGCAATGGATTTCATTTGATGAGACCCAGTCTCTTTCACGTTCCCGAACCGCTGTGGCGTCCAAGTCCCATCTGATTGCTGAACAGGACGTTGCAAACAGAGTTGAACAAGTTCTGAGGTGTAGGATTCCTGGATCAGAAGTATCTGCTCAATGGCAGTTTCCAACTGTAAAACCAAGTCAGCAGACTTCTCATATTGTTTGATTTGGAAACATACCTCCTCTTCCGAGGTCACAATTTGCCATACTGCCAAAGTTAGCACATAGCTCCACGAGCCTCAGTAACTTTGTTTGAAGATACTTACCTTTTACAATCTGCTGCTGCACCCAGGGCAGCTCGTCGTAAAAGCCGACATCAACTTGCCACAAGATTGACACAGTTGCAGAAGCGCTCACTTCCAAGATAGGAACTTGCATTCTTTTCTTTTGTTGCTTGGACCCCACGCGGCGAGATAGTTCTTTGCCTTTCCACCCACCACTCGCCAAATCCCTGAGCTTTTGTTCCACGCCGCCGAAGTCACCTAGGTACGGTTAGAAACGACCAAATTGCACATGATGGAGGCAACAGATGATAGACCAGACTTACCTCCGCGGACCAGTTTCTTTGCATTCTTAAAAGCAATGTCAGACAGTAAAACCTTCCAAAGACCAAATTTTTTGCCGAAAATATCTTGGGCACTGCCAGGTACTGTAGTTCGATCCGAAGGCAGGTCTGTGGAGCTGGCCAGAGTGCCTGTAAGACTCCCGGTAGTGAGCCTATCCAAACAGATTCTGCATGGGAAGCTTTCAAGGGCAGAGCGCATGAGTGCTGGGATTATTTCGTTTTGAAGATGCTCCGATGCATGAGTGAGGCCTCGAGCGGACAGCGGTGGTGGGAGGTTGAAGTGGTTCATCTGCTGAAGGATCTCGTCCGAGACCTTGAATTCCTTTTTCAGTTCCTTTTTGGGACCTTGTTGAGCTAGGGTCAGTTTTTTATCGTCCCGACTGAGTACTTTCATGGATTCTAGACAAGGTAGATTCTCCATTTTTGCCCGTTTCAATTCTTCTTCGTAAGATGTGTCAATGAGCAGGTTGATGGACTCGATCAGTTTCTGAGCAATACCCCAACTCTCCACAGTAGCGTCCGTTCCATGGTCGGCGGAACAGGCATTGCACATGGCGACCAGCCTGTCTCCAATCTGCCTAGAGAGAGCAAGGGGAAGATGGTTTCTTTTGGACAACAGCCATTCCTTTCAAGACCACCGTGTACCTTTCATTTGCTACCAGGTGGTCAAACAAGCCCCGAGAAGACAGGAGGGTGTTGGTGATGTCGCGCAGAAACTGAGAATGTTGTCTGGTGATGAGAGGTAGTGCAGATCCAACGAGTTGGATGATCTGTGGCGGAGAGAAAATGTTGTCGTGAATAAACGGAAGGACCATGGTCTTGAAAATCTCCTCGGCAACCGGACCTGGTAGCTGTTTGGCACGCAAGATCTCGAAGGACCTCAGCAGCCGTGAGTGTGTTTGGTCCGGGTTGAGAACTAGCTGATCATGGATAGATGAATCCTGCATAGCTCTCTGCAAATGGGTGTAGTATTTTTCGACATTTGACAAAGCATGATTGTATTCATGCAGACCAGGCTTCTCCTGCAGCAGAATCAAGGTCCACGGGGTTTGGACAGGCGCCATTGTGGAGCAATAAGACTCGATGCTTGTTGTTTATGGCTTGTGAAGTTGGTTGACACAGATGAGGATCGATGGACGCGTCTGGCGCCTGGCGAAGGCCGTTTTCCCTTTTTTTTTTTGAGCGATTTCTTTTTGCGATTTCTTCTTTTTTTGGATTTTATGATAATCAGAGCTAGGACAGGAAATGGTATGGTTTGGAAAGCCAGGCCAAGACAAGATGATGGGTTCGTTGATATCTCGTCAATTGGTAGCTTGAAGTGACAGGGATCGATGTGTATCGAAGAGGTAAACAAGTCGATGGAGAAGAGAAGAGAGAAGTGAGAGAGAGGTCGGGGTTCATATGTGCAGACGCGTGCCTTCCAAACCAGAGATGTCCCTTCCTCAAACGTCCTCCAGTCGCTCTTTCCCAAAAAGCTCTTTGTCCCAAACAAACACAAACATCGATGGATCCATGGATCGATTTCCTTCTGACCTTGAAAACATTCTACCTAGGTACATATGTATGTATTGCCAGCAGATTATATGTCTGATATCTGAACCGGTCAACTTGTTCTGAACATGTTATTCATACCTCTATAGGGCTCTAACATAGGAACATATACCTACCTAGGTACTCGTATATTATCCTTATTACTCATAGCTCAAATACGAGCTGCTGCTTCAGAATTAAAGAGTCCTCCGCATCATAGTTCACAAAAGTCTTCCCCGATCCTATCTCTAGTGAGAAGCCTCCCAGGGCTGTAAATATCATACCGCGTGATATAATCCTGAGAGTCAGGCTTGCGCCCATATAGCTAAAATGCTAATAGAGCCATCTCCCCCATGTTGAATTTCCTTTCCATGGAGTCCTAGCTTCGGCGGTCTTGAAGCTGTCGAACCTGATCAAGAATGCTGTGCTGGATGATGGCGCATCCTTCATTATTTATATGTATTGTCTTCAGGCGAATATGCTTATGCGCCAGACCAATTGTATGCACTGGGCTGACTTCGTTGGACCCTTGCCAGCTTAAACTGGCCATATAGAGAGGCGTGGGGCCGCTTAATGAACTTCGAAGGCTGCAAAATTTCATGAACAAGACAAAAAGGAAAGGGGTTGTTCCTCACCCAATAGCTTTTAGTGGCTTTTCACTTGTATGCAGCACTCACTAAGCTGAGGATATGCATTTCGAAATCTGGAGTATCTTTAGTCCATATGGTGCCGTATGTGATATTCTTCCGAATGCTAACATGTCTAATAGTATCGAAAGCATACCCACTACAAACATTGACACGCTAGAAATCATCCGCAATAGGGTAAACTTGAGTTTTATTAGAAAGCTCAAATGTGTATTTTACAATTTGATTAGGCAGAAGCACGCAGGAGTATTCAGTAACACATGCCCTCATACATGTGGGCAGCAAGCACCCGTAGTACGAACCCGTAGATCACACAGAACAAACTAAAGAGCGTCATAAGTATCTGTTTGCTTAGGACTATGCATTCCACACAAATGAAATCCCTGCGAACTAACATTTGTTCTCTTCATAAGATTATGACCTAGCAACAATATCAAGCCATTCAATGAAAGCTCCTCTCGCCGCTTGTTCTTGTTCCACACTTCTGGTCGATATCTCGCTATCCTCAGTATAACCCTGTGCTCGGCTTGAACTTTGGTTGGCCAAATTATTGGCCTGACTTTGCGTTACTGACATTTTAGAAGTTGATGCATGTAAAACGAGAAACAAACGTCTGGAAGTCTGAACATGCGTTTTCTTAGGGCTGCATGCCCAGGATTATCAACCAATCAGATCCTCCCGAGGTCGGAGAGCTCAGGTAGAGAACCTTGGAATCCCGGGGTGCACCTGGGCAATGTCTGGATCTTTATGAAGGACTTCGATTCAATTATATGTCGTCTAGCTGTAGAAACCAAACCCTCAATCTCTATGTACATGCAAAGAAAATATACTGCAAGTCAAATGAAAGCTTCATAAAAATCACATGCCCGACGGGCACGTGCAGAGCTGACTAACCATCTATAGCCGCAGACGGGTGACGTTGATGATTCCCCGCGGGAAACAAAGTTAGCTTCTTCATACGCTGGTTACCACCATGGCCACACCGAGGCTCCCTTTCCTGTATCCAAATTTGATGCGCGCGGTGCGATCATGCGAACCGAGGACATACCGCTCACTTAGAATCCCATACCGGCCCAATCAACGTTTCCATACGAGCCAGCAACGGGAGCGCGATTCCTACCAGCGGCGTTATGGTCCAGCTGTCGAACCGAATACCGCCCCCTCGTTGCGTCCGAAGAAGGACTCAAATGATCAGGTCAAGGAGGCGCCAGATGATCAATCGGCTAAAAATGAGGCTGTAAATGCCTCCGAGCAGGAGGAAGCTTCGCCGGAAGAGTCACAGTCGGAACCACCACCACCGGAAGCCGGGCAAGACACTGCGAATGTCGCTTCTTCAGAAACTCCGGCCCCGGATCAACAAAATGAAGCTAAAACCAAGGGAGACAACCCCCCGACGGACCGGGAACCACACGAGGAGCAGGCAAAGGATATAGACGGTGCTGAGCAAGAACAGGCTTCGGCCCCTTCGTCCACTCCCTCCGAACGCCCGTCGGAAGAAATTACAGATACCTCTTCGTTCACTGCACAAACTCCGTTCGATGATGTCCTGCACATGCCCTCGCCGTCTGTTTACCTAGCCCCAACCGGGGAACCCTCCTCTGACAAACGCCCGCCACATTTGTCCCCAGGACCATATGTGCACCCTTTCGACACATATTCGTTGGTGCAGGATCTCTCCAAAGGAGGATACAGTCAGGAGCAGTCTACTACAATCATGAAGGCTGTGCGGGCTATCCTACAGAACAACCTCTCCCTGGCCAGGGAGAGCCTGACTTCCAAATCTGACGTCGAGAATGAGGAGTACCTGTTCAAAGCAGCCTGCTCTGAGCTTCAGTCATCGCTCCAGACAGCTCGCAACTCAGAAATACAGCATCAGCGCTCATCGCGTACGCAATTGCAGCATGAAACGGATATTATCTCGCAGCGTCTCAGCCAGGAACTTGCAGGCATGAAAGACGACATCAAGGGCATGTTCAATGATCACAAGATGACCACGCGAGAGCAGCAGCGGAGCATCGATACCTCAGTTCAGGAATTGAACTACAAGATCACCGTGTCGCTGAATAGCGATGGAAAGAGTGAGATCGAAGGTCTTCGGTGGATTTTGACCAGACGTGCCGCTCTGACGATTGCCATCTGTGCTTGTAAGTTTCGCATTATTCCTACTTGGATCTTTTTGTGTAGCTGACTCGATTATAAGTCATGATCATCGTCTTCTTGAAGTATGCTTCCACGCGCAAGGTGCCTGAGCCCAAGCAAGCCAAGCGAGAAGAGAAGCCGGCCGTCACCAAAGAAACCGTCACGGAAACTCGAGTCGTCCAAGATGGTGGCATTGAGACAGTCGTTCCGTCTGCTGAAGCACATCTCGGCGAATCCCTTGGTTAAGATGCTGAACATAAGTCCCGGCGTAACACGCCTCCTTTCGCTATCCACTTGACACTTTCCACTCCTCATGTCTTGTAGCCATCAGTCGCATATTCCTTTCTTTCCTTTGTCCCAGGTCCCCTGTACATATCCACCCACTCGACCAGGCTCTGTACACTCCTTGTATCACCACCCATTAGACAAAAGCCGATATAATTTTCTTTTACAGAACATGGCAAGCCTACCTAAACCAGGCATGTACAACATACTCAAATCACAAAAACCAGATTTCCATTTTTGCGCATCAAAACTATTCCCTAACCCAAGGCACCTCCTCGCGGCGATACTTGTAAGCCCTAAAAACCGCATTGCTAAGATAATCAAACCCAATGGCCTCCATCTCATCCAACTCCTCTTTCTTCATAACCTCCTTATAATCCGCCAGCTGCGGCACAACAAACTCCCAGACAACCTCACCCCCTTCAGTAACCTCCAGAATCCGCCCACTAGCAGCCTCACAAACCAAAACATTCCCACCAACCAACTTCTGCGCAGACCCCATAAAAGGCGTAAAGAAACCCAACCCACCAGTTGAAAAATCCTTATACTCCCACTTAACAATCCCATCCTTAGAAACAACAATCGCCCTCGAAAACGGCACCGAAACCCCAGGCCTGAAAACGCCATTATCAAGAATCAACATATCCCCCGCCTCATTAATCTCATGAGCACAATGCTGCTGGCTAACAACCGGCGCAGCAAGATTCCACTTCACCGCACCGGTCTCACGACTAATAACAAACACGCTAGACGCATTCCTCGACGAAGCAATAATATCCCCCGCCGAGTCAAACGAAACACTATTGATAAGCGGCCAATGCTCGCGCGTGTAATGGGGGTGCGCAGCAAAGACAGCAGGATCGAGATGGTCGATTGCGCGCCACGACCAGAGGAGCTTGGCGCCGGTTTTACCTCCGCTGCCGTCGAAGTCAGCCGAGGAGGATGTGGTGCTTGATGACCATGGCCGGACGAGTTTGATGCAGTCGCCGTAGATGAGGCCGTTTGGGGCTTCGGTGGATGGGATCCCGCCTTGCACGCGCGCTGCTTCGGCGCTGGTGAGTGGCTCAAGGGTTGTGTACAGGATTGTGCCGTCGTCTAGGTGGTTCTGGTCGTGATGTGCTAGTGGGTCGGTGTATTGCCGCAGGACCTTGCCGTCTGGGCTCACTTGCATCATTACGCCGCCCCGATATTTCGCCCACATTGGGAAGAGGTTGGGGGCGTCTGGATGTGCGCCGTTGTAGGCGAGATTGCCGTCTGCGAGGATGCGGGCGTGTCGGCCTGCGCGGTGGGGGAGTGTCCAGCGGTGCACTTCTTTGCCTGTTGTTGAGACTAGGTGTGCTGTGTTCGAGGTGAGAGGTGCGTATAGAACGTAACCTGGGGAGACGCGCTGAGAGTCCACTCCGCGGAGACCGAGGCCTCGGCGGCGGAATGTGTGCTGCTCCATTGAAGACGGGTCAATTGATTGAGAGGGATTGAGGAAAATAAAAGCAACACTGTGCAGGTGCAAGGGATTTTATGTTTGGCCAAACTGGGGGAAGTGGATTATACCCATAGTTCTCAGGGCATCCCGGACCGGCATGCCGCGGTATGCCGCGGGGGATAAGTATTAGCCAAGTGACATTTGATATGGCGCGAGATAAGCCCAATCATGGATGGTGATAGGTATACTTCAATGTGCAATGTGTTATCGATTGATGGAAGATGGATAGAAAGAGGGGATATTGTGGAAATATAGAAAGGAGAGGGCTTCCCCGGCATATAGTCACAAATTTGACCAGTTCACTTCTACTCTCTATCCCGGGCTACCCATCGAAATGAATAAGTATGATGAATCTATCCAGAAACCACAGTCTGAAAAAGAGACAGTGAAGCCCCATCGCCCATTCTTTCATGGAAGATTATCTATTGAAGAAGGTGGCATCGAACGAGTCACCGATGAAGAGCGACAACAGAATACAACCAAGTTCTGGCATGCTGCTACATTCTGGTAAGACTAATATCTGAGTGAACATAGATCACCACTAACATATCACTATATATTTACAGGTTCAGTGCAAACATGGCCGTGGCCACCCTCAACATCGGCTCGCTGGGAGGTTCTCTCGGCCTTGCGTTCTGGGACTGCTTCATAGTCATTCTCATAGTCAACATCACAAGCAACTTGTTACCAGCCTGGACATCTGTATTTGGGTTAACCGGGCTACGCATGACGACGTTCTCGTGAGTAATATATTTCCATCTAGCTCTCTGCACCGAATATCCCACTGACGCCCGAATCCTCCTAGGCGATACTCATTCGGCTACTGGGGCAACATGCTTGTCGTCATATTTTCCATGATTGCTACAACAGGGTGGAACGCAATTAACTCCATCTCTGGTGCAGCCGTGCTGCACGCTGTCTCAGATGGCCGTTTCCCCATCTGGGCCGGCGTCATCGTGATCTGTGTGGCTGTCTGGGTCATCTGCGTACTAGGTATCAACTGGATCCATCGCCTCGATACATTTATCTGGATCCCGCCTCTTATTGTGTGGTGTGTCGCAGCTGGGACAGGTGCTTCTCAGCTCACAAGTATGGACCATGCGCGTCTTCAGGGCTCAGATAAAGCTGCTGCGATTCTTACATTCATGGCTTTGATCTTCTCCTTCTCGATCTCCTGGGTGAATTGCGCGGCGGATTATAATGTGCGCATGCCAAAGGATACGCCGCGCTGGAAAATCTTCGGCGCTACCTATGTGGGTATTTTCTTTCCTACTGTCCTTGTTCAGACTCTTGGTGCGGCCTTATATACAGGTACCGTGATCAATGTAGCGTGGAAAGAGGCGTATAGGTCTTCTTCTATTGGGGGGTTGCTCAAGATGGCATTGGAGCCAGCAGGGGGATTTGGCAAGTTCTTGATGGTTCTTGCGGCATTGAGCTCAATTCCGGTGAGTTAATGAATCCACCAGTTGATGGTTATTTCGCATGCTAATTTTCTAATTTTTGGAAAAGAATAACATCCCAAACAACTACTCCTTTGCACTACACGCACAGAATCTAGGACCGTGGGCTATGCGTATTCCCCGTGTGGTTATGGTCACCTTTGGATTCATCGCGGCGATAATAATCGGCTGTTGCGCAGCCAGATATTTCTCGGATACTCTACAGACATTGCTTAGTGTGATTGGGTACTGGACCGTGATCCACATCACTCTAGTGATGGAAGAGCATTTCATTTTCCGGCGTGGATGGAATGGGTATGATTTCGACGCCTGGAATAGCATCGCTAATTTGCCATTTGGATGGGCTGCCATCGGGGCTTTCGGCTTCGGGTTCCTGGGTGCGGCTCTTGGTATGAAGACGGCGTGGTATTCAGGTCCTATTGCTTCCTTGATTGGCAAGCAAGGTGCAAATATAGGTCACGAGTTGACATTTGCGTTCTCTGGAGCCGTATTCCCTGTGTTTCGGTGGATTGAAAGGCGTTATGGGGGCCGGTGAAGAGCCATTGCTAGGTTGCCGCATTATGTCGTTTCACACTCATTTCTAAGACGCTTCTATCTCAATCGGGTCTCCCTGGAATAGACGGACTTTCCGGAAAGAGACCCATATTTGACAGAAGATCCCAATCCCCATTAGCCGAAATCCCTAATCCAAGAAATTCTGGGAAATAATAATTGTTAAGTTCGCCAAGTAGCTCTTCTGGTTGCGAGTTTGCTGGCGGTAGCTCGACATGCGGCCGTAATTTTTGATGCACCTTGGTGATGATATTTCCCAAGGTATGCGCCGCATGGCATGGTAATCCAATGCAGTACAGCCACTGAACTAAGTCAGGTACGAGCAATTCGAGCTCGTCAATATTGTAAGTCGAGGCGACCTTTTCTGGGTAGGCATTTAGTAGGCGACAGATGACAATCGCTGCAAAGGTAATCATATGGTATATATGATCGGTCAAATGGCGGGTGCGCTCATCGACTGTATCCATAGCCAGTTTCACAATTGCCTTGGAATGCCGAATCATTTCCGGTACGACTGATTCCCGAGCTCGGGGAGAGTTGGCTTTCAGAGCATGCTCGTATAGAAGCAGATATGAGAAGTGGAAGCCCATTGACAGAAACTGCGATCTCGGTTGTTCTAAAAACACAATTTATTAGCAGGATGGAGGTACTATAAGTCAAATATAACGTACCAATGACAAATTCCCATTTTCGTCGCCAGTCCTGCAAAGCTGCCACTGACTTCAGCAAATCAACCGACTCCTGGATAAGGTGTTCATATACAGTCCAGTAAAGATAAATCTCGGCCACCATGCGCACTTCAAAGTTATTGGCATGATCTGAAACAATAATAGCACGGCATCGTTCGATTTGCCATGGTTGTAACATGGATCGGCGGCTGGTACCAACACAATAATGCATATGAGCAAGGCAGAGATGATTCCACAGATAGCAATTACGCATAGTTTCCTCATCTAGTCTATTTGGAGGGAGGGACTGAGTCATGACAGCAGTAAACAGCGGGCTCGAATGAGAGTGCTGTAAAGCAAACCCGCTCAGAAGCCAGCTATCGATACTCAAAGGCACCTGTCCGACAGTCGTCGACCACATAGACAGGATCAGGGTAGCCTGAAAGAACTCAATGGGCTGCGGGGCAACTAGAAGAGTGGTAGAAGCAAGCGAGCGGGCATACTCATACAATTTCGGAGCAAGACTTGCAGCCAATTCCTCGGAAGTGTGCCGCACGGCGATCAGAGAACAAGCGCAGAATAGCAAGCTCGACTTTTTCACTCGACGGAGAAGCTCGCTTGGCTCACATTCGGGATCGAAGAGAACCCACCGACCGTAATATTCCAGGAAACTAAGAAAGGATTAGTGACAATTCGTCATGATAAAGCGATTCATGTAAAGGGCAGCATACATTGTGATAAGCGTAAGTGCAAGATCAGGCGAAATAAGTTCATCCAATACCGCCTCTAAAGATCTGGCATCAGACATTGGTTTGATGCCGCTGTCTGTTGCTAGATCGCGGATGACCATGATCGGAGCCGCGGAGGATTCCGAGTCCCCGTACGCATCGCCAGACCCCGAGCTCGTCTGCGCGGGGGTAGGTCTACTCGACTCATGGCCTGGATTTTTTACTGGGCCTTCTCCAAGTCGGTCGAGCAGAGTCGCCACGGTCTTTTCTAGACGCTCCAAGCTATGGAAACCTGTCAGTTTGAGAGTAAACATCAGCTGCGATATTCATACCGCGCATCTGTGCCTGTTGCGGGGGCTATGGATTCCTCATCTGAGGCAACTATTTGCACAAGCGAACAAGTCTGGTGAAGTCGATCGCATCGCATACATGCTCGTCCAGGAATTCCAGGCTCGTAGCATCTGGTCTTTTGTTTTCTGCATGAGGTGCATGCCCGGGAAGCACGGCCGCGATCCGGCGGCATTTCGACCTCACAGGCGGAGACTGGCTCTCAAAGATAGAAATTCGACCATACAATGATCCCAAATTGAAGTCTTTGGAGACAAGAAACTACAACTGAGATGGGATTTGGAAGGTCACCTGATACGTCGGGTAGGGATAAAATAAGCTCCGGTGATCGATATTGGAACTCTACGAGGGTCTACTTGAGTATATATAACCGGTTGCACTTGGGAAAATTGTCTACGTCTTCCGAGATTGGACATGAAAAAGGATTTGGCATTTAACTATATCATAAAGTGATTTTGTCTGATTTTTGTACCGTATAAAGTTTCTAGAAATCCATGCGCAATGCTATACTCGGCGCAGCCTGGGGAGCATTGTCTGCCGCATCAGCACCAGTCTTCGAAGCAACAGCACCGACTCCAGCACTGCGAAGAACTTCCTCTAGATGTGACTTCTGGTCTGCATTCATAGTAGCGACCAGGCTCCGGAAAGTAAGCTGGTCGGCCTTAGCAAGCTCGAGAAGATGGCCCGCGGACTCCTGGTGCACGGACTCGCCTTCACGTTTGGCGCGTGCCAATAGTGCCGACATGATGAGAGATGTAGCAGCAGGCAATTGTGAAGTGGAGAAAGTGGCGTTGGAGATGCACGACACGAGTGTGCGAGCAACCACTGTGCGGGAGTTTTCAGGGTCGCTGGGGATATCTCCATTGTCCAGAGGGCAGGCAACCATGAAGGCGATCAGTCGCGGGATGAGGTGTCGGCCGATCACTTCATCGGTGGTGGAACGAGAGCCTGGCCTAACGAGGATCGAACGGAGGCAGCTAGCTGCGACGGTGGCAAGACCGACGTCCTGAAGACAGTCAAAGAACTCATCTAGAACTCGGATCAGGACTGGTTCTTGGGGCGGGATGACGTGTGCGCCAGCAGTCAGAAGGAAAGTGATGGCGAGGAGCGTGTTCTTAGCACAAGGGATGGAGATATCCGATTCTCGTCGCTGGGCGATAGTGAGAATGGTCAGGAAGCGCGTGAGACATCCTCGAAGCTGGAATGAGACGACCTCAAGGTCTTCGGGAGATTCCGCTGTGTGGGTAATGCTGTGAACGAACTGCCTGAAGATGGGCAGAGCTTGGGGAACCACGCCCTCTTGGCAGACTCCAGTTGCGAGGATAGTTGCGAAAATATGGAGAATACAAGCATGGAGATCGTTGCGAATGATAGATGGGAATACAGATGCAACATCGACGAGAGAGCGAAGGGCCAAACGAATGAGAGTCAAAGACTCATCCGAACTGACGTTGAACCGCGCAAGTGGTGTCGATTCCCGGAGATTGGGAAGCATTCCAGCGAGAACAAGAATAATGCTTCTTGTGAGCTCGAAGAGTTGCTCAATGTCATCGGAAAGATGATCACTGCGTTCCAAGTCGCCCTTTGCTGCGGGGTGATCTAATGACAGGTTTTGGGCAATCTCGACAATGACAGTCTGGATGGGGGTAGCTTCTGTCAACACAAGACGGTCAAAGCTGTCCATTGTCTCTGTGAAGATTGCATCTTGATAGATGGCATTTCCAGAGATGACCGGCCTCAGAATCCGCTTCAGAGCCTGAAGAATCTCCAATCGTTGCGATGCCGAAGTTCCTTGATCAACCAAAGACTCGAAAGCCAGTCCGAACAAAACGAAGAAGAATGCAACAGGCTCTTCGCGGTAGTTAATATCATGACCTTTCCCTTCTTCCTTTTTGGTGGCTTTTTCTTCTTTCTCCTCGCCTTCAGCGCTACTAGGCTCCTGAGGTGGCTGCAACTTGCCATCCAAAGCATCAAAAACAAAGTCGATATCTTTCTCGACGAGCCCAGCGATTGCATCAACCAAGTATAACCATGTGTCTTGGTAAAACTGAAGATACTATTAGCGTCCACTGGATACAACAGGTAGATTGGGACTTACCTTTAACAAAGTCTCACGATTCAAAGCCGCATACACCTCATCCAGGTTACCGCTCGAGATTGTCCCCAAGCTACCAGAGATGTCTGGCTCAAAGCGTAATCGAGCATATTCTTGAAGAGAGGAAAGCCACAAAGGTGTGAGTTTCGCAATATAAGGCTGGACCACCGGGGTCAAGTATTCATGGTCGATGCTTGCAATTTGGAGCCGGGCCCAGGCCGAGAACAGAGCAAGTTTTACCATGACTCGAGCATTTGAGTTCAACCCCTTAAGATCACCGATTTCAGTAGTCTCCGGGTTCTTCGAGAAGTTCTCCAGGCCCAGCACCAAAAGCTTCAAGATTCTCCCCATGCGGTCGACATTTGTTACGATTCCTGTAGCAATGAAAGTTGCCGACACATTAATGGCCTCCGAGGCCAGCTCCGCGGACGAATCAGCAGCAAAGGCAGGGGTAAGCGCAGACCCAATCTGAGCTTGATATTGCTCAAGAAGCGAGGCTTCAGCAAAGTCGGGATCCGGCGTCTTACCGAACATGGTGAGGACCTGGTCGATGATCTTTAATCCCCATACACGCAGCTCAATGACATTGGCTGTAGATGCGGAAAAGGCCATTCTGACGATATCTCCTACGTTTTTCTGGAGAGCTAACTCCGCTGGGATAGCAGAGTCTGGCAGAATGGCCTCTTGCACAGTAGCCAGAAGTTCGGAGAGACAGCTCATGGCAAAGTTGCGGGTCTGCCACTTCAACATTTCTTGACCGGCGATGCTTTCATTCGCAGTGTCACCTTGACCTTCCCCGGCAGCCGAGGCAAACCCGGCAACCTCGTCATCGGGGATATCAGCAGCTGCAGTTTGAACAGCTGGGGTGGGCGCATGTTCCACCTTGTGGCGTGTCTTCGTCATGATGTTCTGACAACGTTGGATCCACATCTCGGTTTCTGTCAAAGCAGTCTGCTGGAGCCAGTCCTGGATCATTGACTTGAGTGACTTATTGTCCGGCGCTTCATCAAATGCAAGCCAGATATCGTCTTCCAAAGACTGACCCACTGTCTGCATCACAGACGATGCGTCTCGCTTCATAAGGTTATTGAGTCCACGGACTGCCACATCTCGCATGATGAAGTTGCTAGCTCGAAGCTCCGTCTGCAGTCGCTTCACGTATGCCGCAATGTCGACATAACTGGAGGCATACATCGAGAAGTGGTCCAAACATTTCGAGCTCTCTGTCACCAATGCTGGGTTATCCTCCAACTGGAATTGGCGAAGTAGGGTCAAAATTAGATTTCGGGTCTTCGCAATGTCTTGCAAGTCCGGTCCGAGAACATTGATGAGAGAGTCAACGCATCGACTGATCACGACGGGTGTCAAGAATGACATTTCAATGTTGGAAGTCGCCAGCGCGGCTGCCTCCTCGTTATGGGTATCAGCGTTGTAGAGTTGAGCAAGCATGCCCAAAGAGCCGGAGACAAAAGGCGAGAATGTCAAACCAGCGGAGTTGGCAACTCTCTCCAAGCCCCCAAGAGCCCAGAAATGGACAACTGGGTGAGGATCATTACACAAGGACATCAAAACGCCAACAATCGTTTTGAGGTGCAGACCAGCTGCCATTCCGCCAATCTGAGCATGGATACATCCTAAGGCAGCAGCACAACCAGCTCTGGCGTTGGGCTCTCTGTTCTCGACAATGGTGTCAACAAGCCAATTAACCTGTGTATTAGTACACGTGTTTCCAGCACTGTCGCAAAGTCGTCCAAGTGCTTCAGCGCCGATTGTGCGAACAACGGGGTCAGCATCTATGACGAACTTTTGGAGAAGCTCTTGCAAAATCTTATCAGTGGACGGATTTAGCTTGCCAGGTACGAAGTCCGTCTCCTTAACAGCAACTTTCAGAGTATGTAAAAGGGCAACCGAGATGTTGACGACCAATGCTGCTTTCCTGCCGGGGTTTCTTTGTAGGCCGGGAGAGGAGAGGAATGTAGCGATCTGCTCGACACTGCTTTCCTGGATTTTGGGAGAATGAAGAGCGAGAGCCACAGAGAACAAATCTATTGCCGAATTGACAACTCCGGTTGTTGGGGGATCAACAGCAAGCTTGTCCCCATCTCGCAAACTGTATAGAAGAACCGCGTCATGCTCGCTAGCTTGAGAAATAGGGAAGGCCAAGGTGTCGTCCACAACTTGGTCCACGGAATCAAGCGCAGACCAGGCAGGACTCTTGTCATCTTCCTGAGTGCCAGACAGTGTAGCACGAATATATTCTCGGGAGAGTCCAGTGACACCAAATCCATAATTATCACATAGATCCCATAGACCATCGAATTGTCCGGCGGAGCCGGAAATAGAGCCTTCCAGTTGCTTGTACTGGGCATCTGGGTCTGCAAATGACGAAATAGCCAGGCTGAGAAGACTGGACTGAGAAATAATGTCCCCATGACTAAGTGGATGGACATGCACAAGCTTGGTGAAACACTGCAACACACGTCGGCGCACCATGGTCGAATAATCTTGCAATTGCAGCGACGGTTGCAGCCTTTGTGAAAGATCTTCCATAGCCTTTGGCTTAGGCAAGTTGTCTAAGAATTCGACGGTATTTTGCAACATCGCACCTATTCTCTTTGCGCCATCCGATGTGATCAATTTGCTGTTGAACTCCATGAACACCAGCAGCGAGCCAAGTGCACACTCTCGCACATGAGTCAGGAAGCTGATCTCGAGGGTACCTGGCTGGGCAGCGTTCTCCTTGCCGAGGTGTTTGGGGAGTGCGTTCTTCCACAGAAGCATCAATTGAGACAGATGGGTCTTGACGAAGCTGGGCCCCAGGGGCATCAGACCTCCGATCAGAATCCATGCTACCTGGATTTGAATGCTGGCAACCCGAAGCTCGGAAGTGCTGCTCGTCTTGAGAAGATCCGTTGCCTGGGTAAAGACACGTGCAAACACATCCACTGCTCCATAAAGTGGTTGTAAACGAGAAGTGCTGAGCATTGCAGATAATCCATTGGCATAACCAACGCACCGGCGAGGCGACTGGCGCGGCGTGCCCAACTGTCCGATTTCCCTGTTCAAACTGTTCATGCAGA